TAAGAATCTCCGGTGGAGGTTCGGTTGCCACCTACGACGACTCGACCTGGCAACATATAACGCACGCACCCTGAGGACTGACGAGAAGATACTGGAGCTGGAAGAAGAGGTAGACAAGTTGCGCTGGCATATTATTGGATTATCCGAGGTCCGAAGAGAGGGGGAGGACACGGCAATCCTCGAGTCCGGCAACTTGTTCTATCACCGGGAGGGCGACCATCTGTCCCAAGGAGGTGTCGGATTTATCGTCCACAAATCTCTCGTCAACAACGTTGTAAAGATTGGGAGTGTGTCGACGAGGGTCGCGTACCTGATACTCAGAATCACCAAACGGTATTCGCTGAAGGTCATTCAGGTTTACGCACCAACCTCGGCACATCCCGATGAGGAGGTGGAGGAAATGTATGAGGATATTTCCAGAGCCATACATTCCTCCAAAACCTACTACACGGTGTTGATGGGAGACTTCAACGCAAAACTGGGCACAAGAGAAAGCGGTGAGCTGAAGGTAGGGAAATTTGGAGTAGGGCAACGGAACCGAAGGGGCCAGCAGCTGGCCGACTTTATGGAGAAAGAGGAACTCTTTATGATGAACTCTTTCTTCCAGAAGCGGCCCCACAGGAAGTGGACCTGGTCGAGCCCCGACGGTTCGACAAAAAATGAGATTGACTTCATTATGACGACCAGACGCCAACTGTTCAGTGATGTCTCAGTGATCGCAAGGGTGAAAACTGGCAGCGATCACCGAATGGTTAGAGGCACACTGAACCTAAACGTTAAGTTGGAGAGGTCTCGTCTAATGAAGTCAACGCTCCGTCCCCCTCGTGCTCTAATCCAGAATCCCGAAACCTTTCAGCTCGAGTTACGTAACCGCTTCCAGTGCCTAGAAGATTGCAATGCAGTGGACGATATGAACGACAAGCTCGTGGAAACTGTCCATGCGGTCGGAGCTAAGTTCTGCAAGACCCGCCCCAGAAGAACACAAAAACTCTCCGATCACACTCTTAATCTCATGGCTGTTAGACGGGAGATGAGGCTGCAATCGTCAACAGATTTGACAGCATACAGGCAACTGAACAGACAGATCTCCAAATGCATACGGCGAGACTTACGCAACTTTAATACTTCTCGTATTAAAGAAGCGATCGAGCGGAACCAGGGCTCCAAAGTCTTTGCCAGAGATCTGTCTGCCAGAAAGAGCCAACTGTCAAGGCTGAAGACTGAGTGTGGCAACATCGTTTCCGGGACACCTGAGATTTTGAGTGAGATTGAGAGGTTCTATGGGCAGCTGTACACATCATCGTTGGAGCCACACGCAAGTGTGAGTAACGATCCAAGAGCAAGTCTTATCCGACACTATTCCGATGATATCCCGGACGTCAGTCTAAGCGAGATTAGAATGGCTCTCCAGCACCTTAAAAACGGCAGGGCCCCAGGCGAGGATGGAATTACAGCGGAGCTTCTGAAAGCGGGTGGAACACCGGTACTTGAAGTCCTTCAGAAGCTCTTCAATTCCGTCCTCCATGGTGGCACTACTCCAGAGGCGTGGAGCAGAAGTGCGGTGGTCTTGTTCTTTAAGAAAGGCGACAACGCTCTCTTAAAGAACTACAGACCGATTTCCCTTCTGAGCCGCGTCTACGTGCTGTTTTCGAGAGTCATTACGAATCGTCTCGCACGCAGACTTGACGACTTCCAGCCTCCCGAACAAGCCGGTTTCCGAAAAGGCTTCAGTACCATAGACCACATACATACCCTGCGGCAGATTGTACAGAAGACTGAAGAGTACAATCTGCCACTTTGCCTGGCGTATGTGGACTATGAGAAAGCCTTTGATTCCGTCGAAATTTGGGCGGTGCTACAGTCCCTTCAGCGGTGCCAAGTTGACTGTCGGTATATCGAAGTGCTGAAGTGTTTGTACAGTAGGGCTACGATGGCTATCCGAGTACAGAACCAGAGCTCGAAACCTATCCAACTGCAGAGAGGTGTAAGACAGGGTGACGTTATATCCCCGAAACTCTTCACCGCTGCATTGGAAGACGTTTTCAAGCTACTGGACTGGAAAGGATACGGTATTGACATCAATGGCGAGTACATCACTCACCTTCGATTTGCCGACGATATAGTCCTTATGGCAGAATCGCTGGAGGACTTAAGCACTATGCTCAATGACCTCAATAGTGCCTCCCAACGGATAGGTCTTAAGATGAACATGGACAAAACAAAGATCATGTTCAATGTCCATGTCACACCTATGCCGGTAGTTGTTGGGAGCACTATGCTCGAAGTTGTTGACGAATACGTTTACCTGGGACAAATAGTCCGACTAGGTAAGTCCAACTTCGACCGAGAGGTCAATCGACGGATTCAACTCGGCTGGGCAGCGTTCGGGAAATTACGGCATATCTTTTCGTCAGGTATACCTCAATCTCTAAAAACTAGATTGTACAACCAGTGCGTGTTGCCAGTGATGACTTACGGATCTGAGACGTGGTCCTTCACTGCTGGCCGTATGAGGACGCTTAAGGTCGCTCAGCGAGCTATGGAGAGGGCTATGCTCGGAGTTTCTCTGCGTGATAGACTCAGAAATGAGGATATCCGCAGTAAAACCAGAGTGACCGACATAGCCCAACGGATTAGTAAGCTGAAGTGGCAATGGGCCGGCCATATAGCTCGAAGAACCGATAACCGATGGGGAAGAAAGGTTCTCGAGTGGCAGCCTCGTACCGGTAGGCGTAGTGTAGGGCGACCCCCCACTAGATGGAGTGACGACCTGGTAAGACATGCAGGAAGTCGATGGATGCAGGTGGCTCAGGACCGTGCTTTGTGGCATTACTTGGGGGAGGCCTATGTTCAGCAGTGGACTTTTGAAGGGCTGTAATGATGATGATGATGATGATGGTAGAAAAGTACTTTCTGCTTTTACAAATTCGTCTTCCACGATGCCTTTTGAATAAAATTTGTAATAAAACTCAATCATCGTAATGATAACTTCAAAAATTTCGAAATAACACAACACATTAGCAGGTTCTCTTTATCAGTAACACAGAACACATAACGCTTAGGCGTGATCAGTGACGTCACGACAGTTTCTAATATGGCGGACAGCGTTTTGATGATTTGATGCACAGGCGAAAAACAATTCTTAAAATTGAAACATTCAATTTATAATGTAATTTTATATATAGAAATCAATATTTCTCGTTTACTTTTTACAAAATCTATCATAATTTTACATGCTGTAAAATACCTTATTCAAAAGTACACGACTCATAATGATCGTAAAAAATTAAAAAAATCTCAGTTAACCAAACTCGGCTATACACCTACACTCACTACTCGGGGATACACCTTCAGGTCACTCCCTCAAGTCCGGAGGCAGAGGCGAATTAAAGGTCGACAGCGCCCTAGGCTAGCCTAGCACCTCATCGACGCCTCTAACAGCCACATTATACCTATTATAAGTTAAAACTACTAATTTTGCAAATAAACTATATTATAATTTATAATATAGTTTGATAATCGCAAAATAATTAGGATACGAGTACCCTTAACAGGTGGTTATAAATGAAAAATGTGATGACTCTCTCATTCTTTTTCGTTTAAAAACATCCACGCGCGCCCCTTTTTAACCTTGCGCCCCTCGGCACGTGCCTAGTTTGCCTTAGGGATGATTCGCCAACTGTCCGGAGGTAAGGTCTCATAATAAATAACAAAACGAGTCCAAACTCAGCACACCTATTACTACTACTACTTTTCGAGGAGTTCCAGTTGCATTCACCGAAGTATACATTCAGATGACTCCGTCAATTCCGGGGGTAAGGTCTCATCATAACTAATATAACGAGCATAATCTGGGCACACCTAGTTCTACTCGTCGAGAATTTCCAGTAGCAGATACCGAAATACACTTTCAAGTCACTCCATAAAGTCCAAGACGTGTAATTGTATTTATAAATAAATTCTACGTACTTTTAGCGAAACAATATATTGTTATAAAAATCTGTGATTATAAAAATAATAAATAATATCTAACCGTCATCAAGTATGTGTCGATTATACTTTCAAGATTGGATGCAAAGACGCAAAGTGGTAAACCAACTTTAGGTGATATAGGGGAAGATGGGGGGACACCGCATGTTTAAGAAAAAGGCACAATAAATAAATTACTCTGTTATTTATTGAGATAATCAATATCACAAATGTTCGAGTATACGATAGGCATAACTTTGGTATGAAAATATTTGCAAACTTGAACAATTTTAATCAAAAATTACAAATCCGAATTCACCCCACACCAATGGGTCAAACGGGATAGGCATTTTATATTACAGGGGTGAATACAGATACTAACAATAAAACAAAATACTCAAATTATTCGCAGTTTTTGCATACAAAAATAATAATTATTGCTCAGAACATCCAATGCAACTTTCGTCAGCCCATTCAAAACAAGCAGTGCTTTGGTACTATTCATCTGTGGACTTAGTTTGACTTACTTTTCACCACAAAACATACACTCCGAATTCTTTTGATTGTTTTCTTAAATAGTCTTTTTTACGATACCTTTAAATTGCCTTCAAATTTTATTTTGATAACTGATTGCGTAGTTTTTCCAGCCAGTTCATTTTTATACGGCAATTCAGTCAAATTTGCTGTTTTTCCTCGACGCGTCGATGGCCGGATGTTCTTTTTTAAAATGAGGAATCGGCATGATATCTTTCGGTGATACAAAACTTATAGAATCTGAAAACATTTGTCCTTCTGTAGATGTTCCTGCTTGTGGGGGGAGATTTTATTTGTGGTTGGTAAAAATGATATTTCTGTTGTCTGTGATGGTGCAAAATGTACGTCTGTAAAAATATTGGGATTCGGTTGGCAAATTCCGGTTTTGGTGAAAGCAGACACTGCATTTTGCATGGTAGCGGCACGATTATAAGCAGTTCCAAACAAAAATGCTATGTAAATTAGGTGACAACACGCCCCGGATGGTTTCGAAGCCATTACTGGATTTCTTGCGAGTAAAACGTGCTCAACGGCCCCATAAAACCAACATCGAGTGGCTGTAAGCGATGCGCGCAGTGAGGTGGCAAGCAGAGCATTATGACACCATAAGCACAAGTTAGCTCAATAGCTTCTAAGTTTTTAGTGTGTGTGGCGTGACCATCTAAGACAAGAAGCACGGGATTTTCTTTTCTTGGTTTTACTTCTTTGGATTTTCCACGTTTTATCTTCTTTATACGATCTTCTAATGAACTTTTAGGTACATTATATATATTTGACGCTAAAAGATATCCCATTCTACCTCCCATCACCGAATTTATGGCTAAAAGTCTGTCTGACTCCGACCATTGAACCCTATTTGACTCTCTGACATATGTTCGTGGCATGATGAAACTCACACTCTCCAAGAAGTAAAAAAAAATAGAAATCAAAAGGAGACCTAAAACATACGCCCACAAGACCTATCGTATTAATCGGGGTGAAATCGGATAGTCGAAGTCACCCCGTCCGCATCCCGTCCCATAGGTACCATGTTTGAAATTGTAATAACTAACAGGTTAATGGCGGTTAGTATAGCGCATATCGCCATATTATAGCGCGCTATCTCTCCATAACGCATAGCGCGTGCTATGTAAGTAGTCGCCATGACGGCTCCGTGGCGCAGTGGCTTAGCAATGAGTTACAGCGCTAAGGGCCGCGGGTTCGAATCCCTCACGGAACAAGAATTTGTATTGCCTACAAATAATTGTTCCGGGTCTGGATGTTTGTCCTTGTGAAATTTATGTTTGTAAACTGCCCCCACGATACAGGAGAAAATCCTAGTGTGGAGATAACGTTTTTAAAAAAAGAAAAAAAGCCATGGCGCTATGACGCTATGACGCTTTGGCGCTATTCATATCAAGTGGCAATTAGTTCTAGCAGCAGCGCTATTGGGAGTAGACGTGTGACGCAAGATTAAATCTAGCAGCACGCTATTCATCGCGCGCGAACTAATTTAGTGTTAGACGTTGTTTAGTTATTGTATACTGTATTTATAAGTGATCGAAGGACACAGTTGTTTACAAAAGAAGCCTAACTAATGTTTTAAATGTATATAAAATATAGATACAAAAGTGTATATAATAGTGTTTGTAAATAGTTGATTTTTGTATATAAAATCAATAAACTTTTAAGTACACCTTTAATTGATTTATAATTTATATTAAGATTAAAATAACGTTTACATCAATTGTAATAAAAAATGATTAATTTTATTTTGTTTTTTAGAAGTACATGCCATAAAAATATTTTTAGGATTATAAAAATTCGTAAGTAAGCCTGAAAAGTATGAAAGAGCATTTATTGATTTCTCTTTACCACTATATTTTATTTTAATCTAAAATGCGACTTATTACGAAATAATGTTCTTATATAGCACGCGCTCTATCCAATGAATGCCACGTAATGTAGCGTGCTCAGAGATATAGCGTGCTTATAAACTTAACGCGCTTGCTGGCCTCCTACACGCTTTCTTATAAATAGCGCGCTATAACATAGCGTATTTAATAGCGCGCTTAAAAATTTATAGTTTATCGTCTGTAGCGTGGTATTGATTTATAGTCGTTTTGAACAACTTTATAACAGGTTATCTTGACACTCATAGCGATACCAAATACCGTTTTAGAAATTTAAATATGTATTAATTCTTTGAATATACAACTGTTTATCGTAGCATATAGCTAAACTAAATGATAATACTTTCAAAATAACAAAATATTAGATAACTTACCTTTGTATTTAATTTTCGTTTATAGACGCACGCGCAGAGATGTTACCGACGCCACCATTTGCAACCGCACTGAGTAGGGTAAATTGGGAACACTTAATTTCTAACGCTCAATAATAATAGAAAAAAGTCGCAGACATAATCAACTTTTACTGCAACATAAAGTTTGCTTATGTATCTAGTTACTAGTGACAATAAAAATCTTAAAAACAACGTTTTATTAGAAATATGAATGAAAACAAAAAACATTGCCATTCATATTTACCCCATACCCTATGGGGTAATTGAGATCATCCTGCGGGGGAAATAGGAACAGTATGGTTACTCCAGACAGGTCAAGAACGACATAATTAAATCTTTAAAATAAACTAAAATTATTAACTTATGTGGCACATATCACACACGTAACCTTACTAGTATCATCGGTAGTACATTTTTCATGAGCCCAGAGTTAACAAATGGTCTACATGATCCAATATTCTATCGGTGGGGATTCATGCTTTTCGTTGCATATTACACAGTGAAATTCGTCTTCGCTTTCATTTCCTTGTAAAGCCTTTTTCAAATTTTTGACTCTTTTACCATCGTCTCGTAGCTTCTTTTGTGTAGTTTTAATGTCATTTTCTGTTTTTTTAGTAGAAATTTTCCGTTTTTAGCTTTCCGTCCACTTTTTTCATTTTCGCTCTAGTTGAATGTTTATTGATGTACCTGATAAAATCTGGGAATGCTTCTTATTCTTTCGCTTAGAGGTGGTTCCTGTTTTAGGAATAACAGGTACATTGATAATTTCGGCAAGAGGCACAAGAGTGAAAGGATGAGGATTATTAATGGTAACGCTCAAATCGTTGTTATTTTCTGGAATAGAAGTGGAAGTGTTGGTGTGTGACTATGGCTGACAGTGTTAACGGACTTATTCCAACTTTACTCAGCTGCAGTTTCATGAACATCGCACTCTTGAGTCGGACTGGTGTGACATTGGTCAATTACCGTATTTTTAAAACTGTCTTTAAATTTGTTAGGATCAATAGGATGAATTCCAGCGGCTTTAAATCCATTGAGAGCTTTGCTTATGTTAGTTGTTTTATTGTTCCCTTTTGTAAAAGTTTTCCAACCTCATAATCGCTTATTCGTTTGACAGGATTGTCAACCATGTATAGCTCACATTCTTTTTTGTATGTCATCTTCAGTGAATTGAAGATTCAGCTGCATTTTGTGGGATACATTGGGTGGCGTATGTAATTTCGAGGCTACTAAAGTAATTTGTATCGTTAAAACATTATTACACAATCACCCAGAAGCATGAGGGATAAATAAGAACGCAAGGGGTAATTCGGAACGTTCTCAGTTACCCGACTAACGCGGTTCCCAATTAACCGCAGTAGTCAATATAAACAAAATGTCTGCCACCTTCAACAGTATTTTTCGTTAACTTCAAATCACGTGGTGTTTGAAAACAGATAGTACGTTAACTGACAGTACCGAAATATGCAGTCTTTGAATTTAAAATTTTGATATTTACATTTATATAACACACGACAAAAAATATAACAGAAATGCAAAAAAAAAATTATTAGTGCTTTCACTCACTATTGCGTACGCACAGAGGGGCCTTGGATGCGTCTGTTAAACAGGTGCAGGACGGGGTAGTGTGGGGGGAAGTATTACCTATCTAGTGGTTCCCAATTACCCGCCGTTCTTAATTCCCCCACTCTCTCCTAAGCGCTCGCACGTATTTCTCCATTAGCTAGAACGAGCCTGCTATACGCGGAATAATGAAATAGTAACTATCTGGTTTCACCCTCAATCCGGTTTCCCCCCACCTTCCCCTACTGGATGACCTTTTTTAGTCTGGAAAAAAATAGGGTGAAACATGTGAACGGAGTAGAAGCCTATGGCACTTTCTTATAATACTAAAGTGACAAAAAACTTACAATCCACCTATAGGTGTCGGATTTATCGTCCACAAACCTCTCGTCGACAACGTTGTAAAGTTTGTGAGTGTGTCGACGAGGGTTGCATACCATATACTCAGAATCTCTAAACGGTATTCGCTGAAAGTCATACTGGTTTAAGTACTCCAAATTCCAGTATACGGTGTTAATGGGAGAACTCGATGCAAAACTAGGCACAAGAAAGAACGGTGAGCTGAAGGTAGGGAAATTTGGGATAGGGCAACAGAACCCAAGGGACCAACAGCTGGCCGACTTCATGGGGAAATAGAGACTCTTTATGAAGAACTCTTTCTACCAGAAGCGGACCCACGGACAGAGAAACTGTTCGAGCCCCGACAGTTCGACAAAAAATGATATTGACTTCGTTATAACGACTAACTGCAAGTGTTCAGTGATCTCTGTGATCGCAAGGGTGAAAATTGGCAGCGATCACCAAATGGGTAGAGGCACACTGAACCTATACGTTAAGTTGGAGAGGTCTCATTTAATGAAGTCAACGCTCTTTTCCCCTCGTGCTCTAATCCTAAGTCACGAAACCTATCAGCACGAGACCAATCGACGGATTCAATTCGGCTGGGCAGCGTTTGGAAATTATAACACATCTTCTCGTCAGGTAGTTAGTTTACGACGGGCTGTTTTCCACAACTCCACGTCTAAGCGCGTATTTCGCGTGAAGTTCAACAGTCCTTTGATGTTGCAAGCAACCTCGGGAAGCGATCCCGGCGTGCCGAGATGTTTAGCTATATGAAGCAATTTCATGTCAGCAACACGTGAGCCGCCGTTTCTTCCTCTCCCATGCATCCTCCGCAAAGGGGGCTGTCAGTAACACCTATGGTAAACAAATGTTTGTTAAAAAAGCCATGTCCTGTGATAGCACTTGTTACTGTCCTGATCTGTGGTTTCTTCAGTCTCATTAGAACATTGGTTAGACGACTGTTTATTTCAAGCAGGGCCTCCCTAGCTTGTCTACAGTCTACTAATTTTTTCCAAAGCTGAGCGTGTAAATTATTGAAGCATCTACATACCAATGAACGAACATAGTCAAAGGGGACTGGTATTATAGATTCCGGACCTATAGTTGCCAGAGCCTATCCCCTTCTGGACAGTTCATCTGCTGCATCATTGCCTCTAGATCCACTGTTTCCCTTGATCCATTGCAGTCACATTGTTGTGCTTACATACCTCATTCAATCGTTGTAGGCACTCATATATTAGTCCCGAGTTCGCCACATTGCAACTCAGAGCTTGTAGTACCGCCATACTGTCGGTCAGTATTCTGATGGAGAAGTCACCTTCCTAGCATCTATTGCTATGGCCGCTTGGATGATACCCATGCATTCAGCCTGGAAGACTGTGTTATGGGTACCCAGTGGTGTGCATATGTGGATATTAAGGTCTTCAGAGAAAGCCCCAGACCCCACACCTTCATTTGTCTTAGAACCATCCGTGAAAACTTTAAGCTCTTTTGGTCCCAATCCTTCCAGCAGTTTCCTTCAATTGTATCCTGTACTTCTTATCGAATACAAATTGTTTTGGGATCCTACCATACTTGGCTTATAAGATAGGAATTTTTGAGTAAACTCTGTCAATTATACCTGGGGGACTCTACTCTTACTTAAAAGATTTAGGGTCTTGAGTCTAATGGCAGCTAAAGTTGCTTATTGTTGTATATGTAGATGAAGCGGTGTTAGCTCCAGTATAGCCTCTAAAGTTACTGTTGGTGTAGTTCTTATGCAGCCCGTGGCAGCCATAAAATCCAATCTCTGGTAACGCTGAAGCTTGAACGAATTAACCACTGGACCCGACATATAAGCGGACGTGCCTATACCGGTCTTGTCAGTAACCAGGAAATTCTAGCCTTGGTCGTTTATTTTTGCGTCAGTCTCAAGCACTTACTTGTCAACAAAACATCTCCTAAAAATGACTAAACGTTCAGTAAAAACTATAGCGGCGGAAGCAGCACTATTTCTTTTCACTTGTAAGTACATTATTTTATTACATTTATGGTTATTTATCACAAAACTTAATTAAATGTAAAATAAAATTTTGTATTATCCAACTATGTTAAATATAGTCGATATTTCTATGTATTGTTGACATCTGACAACCATCACAAAGTTGCTGCATTATACCATTCAGAACGGTGACTAAAACTGTGGAGTGAGTCAATTTGACATCGACTATTGCTTGACCATTTCGAAAATATATAGATATTTGACGATATGACCGAATTAATGATGATGTTATTTGTACAATACAATAACACTTAAAAATACTTATACATATAACAGTATCCTACAATCTGATGTCATTAAATTTATAATAATAATTTTTATAATTAAATAAAAATATTATAAATGCAAAAATTATAATTAGTATCTGTACTTAAAATATTTAAACACATAAATTACACGTGTGACCCAGTATAATTTCCCAGTGACCCTTCTCGGAAGAGAAAGTGGGTAGAAGCAGTTCGTAAAGATGAAACCTGGATCCCGACGAAACACAGCGCCATATACAGTGTACATTTCGAAACTGTCTGTTTTAATACTAATGCAAAGAAACAGAAAATGACACCAATGAAGGCAGTCTCATTGCCCATAAAGACAAGGGAAAACTGATACTTCCCTCAAGTGATACCATAGCTATTTATTAGCACTGCGAACTCAAACTTAGGAAGGGTGTTCAGAATAAAAGACTAAAAAAAGATTACACAACAGAATTTCTTCTGCCGAAAGTAACAGAAACATTGCTGCAACTTCCATTGTACGAAGACATTCATTTCCATAAATTTGAAAATGACGACGTGAATCACGTCGAAGAATTAACGAAAGCCGTTGCTGAAAAGTATTTAAACATTAAAATTGCTTATATAAGAAAACAAGCGAACACAACAAATTCTAAGAAAAACATTTTAAGAAAGATACATAATAAAAGTCAGTAAACCTACTAAAATAATTTAAACTTAACAAAATATTGGACGTTTATCGTAACTATAATTAAATTAAGTCCATAAAAATGTCCTGCTTCTTTTATTTTAATCAAAATTTAAATACTGGAAGCTTACCTCACCTTCATTATCCCTTTATTTCCTTTGTTTTACAGCTTATTTACCATACGCCTTTTCTTTCTCATTCGTTCATCGATATATTTTATCGACTACGATCAAGCACTAAAAATGGAGTAAACTTCTACGAATCTCGTGTGTTTACATTAACGTAATAAAATCTTCGTGCGCGTTATTCTCCACTCGGTTGAACGAGTTTTCATACATTTGTGTTTTATGCATAATATCATCATAATTCGTTCAAGCGCTGAAGCTTTCGTATAGTGGTGACTTCATTAATTTTTGCCCACCATACCAGAGAGCCGTATGTGATCATGGGCAGAATTACAGTTTTGTACAGCCACAGTATAATTTTTGGCGTCAAACCCCATCGTTTGCCAATCATGTTTCTGCATTGCCAGAAAGTTAAACTAGCTTTGTTGATTTTGTTTTCTATATGTTTATTCCAGTTAAGTTTACTCTCTAAGCTAAGACCTAAGTATTTTACCTCGGAGGACAGCTGGAGTTTTGTGCTGAAAAGACTTGCGAGATGATAGTTATTCAGCATTCGTTTTTGTGTGAACATTACTAGAACCATTTTGTTTGGATTAACGGTTAGGTCATATTCCCTGCACCATCTCTCCACAATACGGAGAGCCGCTTGGGTCAGGTCGCACACAATGCTTGCTGTCTTCCAGAGACCATCATTGTCAGATCATCTGCATAACCGACTGTGCAGAAATGATTAGCATTTAATTTGCTTATGAGTTCATTAATGACCATATTCCACAGGAGAGGTGAAAGAACCCCACCCTACGGGCATCCTTTCATGATCTGAATTGTCTAAGATTCACCAGCAATCTTTATTGTTCGTGTACTGAGCATGTTTACTATCCAGTCAATCAGTGCCAGTTCAACATTATGTCTACTTAGAGCACCTTTTATGCTGGAAAAGTTTGTTCTGTCAAAAGCACCTTCTATGTCTATGAAGGAGCCTAGAGATATTACTTTGTTTTGGATGGCCTCTTCAATCTTTGTTATTCTTCGATTTACCTAAGCTATAGGCGTGTTGTTTTTCGTGTAGCGGTAAGTTAATTAGCGCCGACCCTCTCAACTCCCGTTAACACATCCTCTCCATCGTCTTTAGGAGAAAGGATGTGAGGCTAATGGGTCTGTAGGATTTAGAGTCTGTATAGTCGTTCTTACCTGGTTTGTGTATGAAGTGACTTTCACTTCCCTCCATCCCCTAGGAACATATTTAAGAGCCAGACATGCTCTCATTATGGCAACAAGTCTAGAGTATTAGGACTTTACACTCCCACTGTAGAAGTGCCGGGAATAAGCCGTCAGGACCTGCTACCTTATAGGGTATGAAACTATGAATGGCCCAGTGGATTTTGTCCATCGTCACCACTCTTTGTGCTAAGTCCAAGTCTTCTTTTGTTGGTGTCAGTGCATCTTCATGCTGGTTCACCCTTTCAACTACACAGCAACCTGGGAAGTGAGTATCAATCGGGATGCGTTGGGTTTCATCCGCGATGTTGGGTAGCTTCCGTCGGGTTTCTTTAGAGATGGAACTTGGCGTGTTCTATTTACTGCTTTTACAACCAGTGCATGTTGCCAGTGATAACTTATGGATCTGAGACATAGTCCTTCACTGCTGGCTGCATGAGGACGCTCAAGTTCGCTCAGCAAACTTAGGAGAGTTATTCTCTGGGCTTCTCTGCATGATAAATTTAGAAATGAGGATATTCGCGGTAGAACCAGAGTAACCGACATAGCCCAATGGATTAGTAAGCTGAAATGGCAATGGGCCGGCCATATAGCTCAAAGAACTGATCTTCTTTTGATTGCGAAGGCCTTCGATTGGGTTTGGCACAAAGCACTCCTTTCGAAGCTTCCTTCCTATGGGCTTCCCAAGAAATTGTGCAATTGGATCACCAGCTTTCTTGCTGATCCGAGCATCAAGGTCGTTGTAGATGGTGCAAACTCTGATTACTAGCTTATTCATGCTGGCATTCCACAAGGCTGTGTGCTGTCACCAACGCTGTTTCTTCTGCATATCATTGATATATTCCAAACCGGTAACATTCATTGCTATGCAGATGACGGCACTAGTGCTCTGTACACTACGCCAGTATTTCTCGGAAATATTGGCGTAGTGTACAAAGAAAACGTCTCAGAGTACCGGGACAAACCTGTGTCTGAAGTCGAGTCTTTGCTGAACAAAGTCTTGGAGTGGGGGCGACTAAATCTAGTCCAGTTTAACCCTCAGAAGACACAAGTTTGCGCGTTAACCGCTTAAAAGAATATTTGCCCCCTTTTCTATAAAAATGAAAAAAAAACCGATGAGGAAAAGAGGTTCTCGAGTGGCAGCTTCGTACCGGTAGGCGTAGTTTAAGGCGATCCCCGACTAGTTGGAGTGATGACCTGGGAAGCCATGCAGGAATTCGATGGATGCAGGTGTCGTGGAACCGCGGTTTGTGGCATTCCTTGGGGAAGGCCTTTGTTCAGCAGTGGACTTGTGAAGAGCTGTAATAATGATGATGATATAAAATTTAGATAAACTTTAATAAGAATTATTCTGTGTATTGAAGTACCCTACATTTTTATTTTTATAGGGCCAGAACACATGATAGAGTATACTATGATAGAAAATGAATTGCAGAAATAATATAACACAATTATATAAAAATAATCTTGTCTCTAAATTAAATAAAACAAAAAGTACTTTTTCACATGTATTGCATAACCTTAGAAAAAGAAACCTAAAATTTTTCCTCCCAGATGTTTTCTCCTGGCTTCTTCATGGTCCATAATACCACCACTGGTTGTCAGGACAAGGTATCTGAAATAAAAAGTAAATAAATTTACACATCTATGTAACCAAATGAAAAACAAAATATTTTCTTTGTCCTATTAGCGGTCAACAATTGCAGTCTATTTCAGCTGATCATGCCTTAGTTTCTAAAACACCAATCAATCAATGGCAATTGATGGTAGAATGGATTAATCGACATTGATCGAGCTGCTGCTGCAAATAATCAACTTGAGAACCCACCTCCCTTCATCAATCGCTCCCTATTGTCCTCTCAGATTACATTTTGAAAGATACTGGTGATGAGCTAACAACCACATTGATTAATAACAATTATGATCGATGATTGAAAAACGTTTAATCAACCAGTATCTGTCGATCAGCTAAAGCTACCACACCAATCACTCAAGATCAATTGATTGGTGTAGTAACATCATTAGAAAATTAATGTTAAATATAATATAAATCAAAGATTAGAAATAAGGCCAGGACAAAAGACGAATTGCAACTGTGATAGTTGAATTTTTTTTATATAAGCTGCATTTAAACCTACTGTCACTGATATTACTAAATATGTGTAATCTCTAATAGTTGTTAGCTTATAGTCACTGGTATTACATGATTCGTACTTTTATATATGTATTTAACAAATTTATTACTTAGATTTTAAAATTATTACTTAGATTTAATTGTAACTAGTTTTAACCAAAAGCAACCTATTGTTATAGCCATTATTAATTTTAGCCATGTTATAGCCAATAAATAGTTATAGCCTAGTTATAGCCATGAATAAATGGAATATACTTAAGTTAAAGCAACCATAATCAGTTTCACCTAGGTAAAATCAGTAATCCCATAGCAGTTCAATTTAATGTAAGAAACACCCCAATTACAATACAATTATTTAATGACTATGGCTTAGTACTCTCACTTGGTACTCAGCACATGATCAATTCATGTAAAAAATTAAAAAACTAAATGCAACAACCCATTGATTTGACCTTTGTAGTCTTCTGATCCTCAAGTAGCTATGTCGGCTAGATTGAAGGAAGTTTCTCTCTACATAATGTCACAATTAAGTTTTAAAATTAACCAATTCGTTTTGAAGGATTGGTATTAATCCAATCAATCACTTAGGGTAGTGAGTTAGGGAAAATTAACCAATAAATAGCTAATACCCAGGGTATGTTCTGAAATGTTTCCAGTATACTGCGGAATACAAATGACGTCATCAATTGACGCCATATTGTATTGGCGTGCCATCGTCATATTGTGTCGGATATCCGGCCATACTAAAACAATTTTTAATTGTGTGTACGCTGAATGAAGCATGCCAGAATTTGTTTTTATTTATTCAAATACAAAAAATTATAGAATAATTGCTGGTATTTCCATTAGGAGAATATAATGATTTTTGGAGCACAAAATGACAAAATAATCGCCAACACTTTTCCAATATGGCGTAAATGTATGACGTCTTATACTGTCCTATGTTTTGGAATGTATCACCAGTATGGCGTCGATTCATGACATCATTTGCATTGGACAGTACCCAGTGTACTTCTATTTTGGAACATAACCCCAATATATTCAACTATATGACATTTACATGATAACATTAGATATGATTCCCAAAGCTTGCAACCAACTAATTCTCTATCTCACAGATATTATTTTAATAGGAATTAAAGTTTGAATGAGTAATATTGCTTAATTACATACATTAAGAAACTTTTTAAAAATGTTTGAAAAAGTACAGACAATGTTGTCTATAACAGACAACATCAATTTGTACTATTACATTATTTTTTTTGCACAATACTTCAAATGACAACCAACAAGAACTATTGGTGATCCGCGGTGATTGTGCTAATCTGAATAATTTGAAATCTTGCAAATTATTTGGATCAACTCTTCTACTGCAAAGAAATGTATTTAAGGGAAAACACTAAAAAAAGACAAAGAACATATACACATTTAAATACAATACTATTCAGTGTCATAACTGCAACTGTGTTATCTCCATTAACCTCTTGTTTGCAAACTGTTACTGTCTATATTCACACCCACCAATAACAATCATAGAAAAATAATGTCATTCATTAGTTGAGATATTTTACATACTTCTAAATTCAAGTGAGAGTAACCAAACATTACCTTTTTTAACCAAACATTATTATATATATACTAATCAAACTTTTTCCAACAAACTAAACTAAAAGTTACAAATTAAACTTGCATAATACTTTAATTAATATAACAAGATGTTAATCAAAATAATAATATAGATCCTGCACAGTGGGGGTGAGATAGTGACCCACCACATTTACACACTCCTCCGCCCCTTTGTAAACCAAGCCATACAAGAGCCTGGAACATGTCTCATAGCATCAAAGGAGTTACCATAACCAAAAATGGATGATGATGATGATGATGATGAATGATGAATTTTATAAATTTTTAAAAATCTCATTTTGAAATTATGTTTCATAATTTTTATGACAATTTTAACCTGATTTATGGGGAGAGAGTTGGGGGATGGAAGCCCCATGCCAAACAACATGGTACAGTCGAGGGAAGTGGGGCTCCTACTTCTGAGTAGTTTATAAAAAAATAACCACTAAGGGGATGGCGGGGTTTCGGGAGCGGGATTCACTCACTCGACCCCATCCTCCCCTTCTAACCTAACCTGTCCGAGTCTGGGTGCCCCACATCCCAGGCTCGTTTTGCTCATTATTGCACTCAATATAACTTCAAAATATTAACTTTAGTACTTTAATTTATAAACATAATTTATGGCTGCCACCATTTGTGAGAAAGGATCTTTGCGATATTTTGCATTAGCTGTATTCAACCGCCACAAATATTCCACTATTCACCAAAATTCTGAAACTCTAAAGCAACGGAATGACATAAAGTATGTCTGTTACTGTTAACAAAATGGCTGGCCTAGCAATTAATTTTACACATTTTTAAATCGATTCGAATCGAATTTGGATGAATCGATTCATAAAAAATCAAAGTCTTAAAGATTGAATTCGTAAAAATTGATCTTTTTTTGAATTGCGTTAAGAGTTTATATTTACAATATCAAAAGATAAAGTACAGGTAACATTAAATGATTGAATTGAAAAACTGTCATTCTTTATAAGTTGGAGTACATTCAATAATTGTAAATAATTTTATATTATAGTTCTTAATAAAACAGAAAAAGATTCAAACTTGATTCTCTAGGGTGAAATATCGATTCAGTACTATCGATATGACATTGACAGATGCAATGTCAAAAACGTGAGAATATTTAATTAATTATTTACCAATATTTTTAAAAAATACTGCTCCGGCAGCATAAATCGCTTGGGGGTGCTTCAGATAAACCCCCTTGAACCCCCCCCCCCCCCCACAGTCACACAATCTTGAAGACTTAATTGTAAACCCAACCCCAAGCTAATTTCAGTTGATGCTTAATTGCATAAAAGGTAGTAGTGATTAGATTTTCATTAAAATCAATTCCTTAGATTTATAAACAAAAAAAAAACTTACAAATAATCACTATATGGGAAGTTTATTATGAGATAAGGGTAGAACAAAATCACCCCATGCACATAAGATAGTAAAAAATGTAAAGCTGAGATAAACAATATACTCAATTGTACCTAATCGTCATAATTCTGCCACCAGTGGCAACAGTAGCATGACTGATTTTTAGCATAAAATAATGATATTACCGTATATTTAATATAAAATTATATTTGCATGCTGATAATATCAGCAGAATATAACAGAGAATTCTGTGGGTAAGACTTACCATCATGCCATAAAATAATATTGTTAACAATAAACAAATATAATATATACAAGTGAAAAAAATGTGAAAACTGGTTTCATTCCCCATTAAGAATACTATAAAATTATTAAGGAAAATGCATACTAATCTTAATGAAACATGGCATAAATTAAGAATTTGTATTCTGATTCCACCTATACTTTTTCAAGGTATACATAGAAATATTTTACTGAATTGGCTCTCTAAGTTGTCTAAAATACAAATCAGATCATGTGTATTATAAAGATATTTGTTTTTCTACTATGAGGGCATTATATTTACTCTAGGAAGTTATATACACTCAGGAATTGCGATGTCACAATTATCAGTTCACAACCTAATGAATTTATTTAAAGTATTTTATTAGCTTGAAAACATATTTTATTAAAATGGAAACGGACACTACTTACCCGAATTGTCGAGAAGGAAGCAGATTAGTCCATCTTTCAATATCATTGATAGGTACATCAAAACGGGGAGAGATAACCCCACATTTGTTCAACCTGCCTGTAAGGTTCACTACTATTTTACCAGCTCTGTGGTCATCTACTATTTCAAATTCACCAATGTACCCGTGCTTCATCATCACAGTGAGGAATTTGACAATAACTTTAGAGCAAGGCCGAATAAGCACTTGCCGTTTGCCCCGTTTTTCGGCATTGTGAATTGACTTTAGGGCATCACTCAGTACATTCATACGCACCATGGCTGAAATTTAAAAACAATTTTTATTGAATTAACACAGATTTGAAACACTTCAACAGAACACGGCGGAAACGTCAAAACAGACCGAAACAATGTAGGTTAACATAAATTTTAGATGTAAATCACCAAAATAGTGTTTAAAGGAGAATCGTCGTCAAATATTGTCACAACGTTTGTTTTATTTATAATTTTAAAGACGGTAAATATAATGATTACCTAGGATTATAAACCCGCCTCAACGTCCGGTAATGACAGGTTAGTCGAAAAGAAAGAGTAAAATCGAAATTAGTGTTACCAGACTATTTACCCCGAAACTGCCATGAGTAAAATAAAAATCTGCAGAAAGTGCAGGATATTCCAAAGCGTTAGTCTTATCATATCAATAATTACTATGTATGAAATGCAGTGCAATCTTGTAATACCTTGCTTTACTAAATGATTTCTTATATTCCAGTCAGGAGCCAGTCGGGATGATAAAAAAATCCTTAAATAATAGTTTTATTCAATGTGTAACGTTCGCGTAAAGTACGGTAATATTGAAAGGGAGCGAGGGGCTCTAACGGTTAGAGGTAATGTTGGCTCGCAGGATTTCTCGCTCTATGGAAGAGTTAAAAGTGACGCTTTTTAGATCAAATCTTGCACACGAGAAACTTGTGAGTCAAACGCATCAAATAATCGTTGAACACTCTACGAATCCGGTATAACAATGGTTTTAGGATGATGTTGGTTCTGTATGTTTTTGTAGTGCATCAGGAATGTTTGCGGAGTACCAAACTGATAGCTTCGAAGTCATCATTTGCAAAAAACGTTAGTAGAGTGAGTAACAGCTCCAATAGCATCCTAAAGAGGTTAGCGAATCAATTCACATCACCGCTCTGGAGGTGCTTTTATCGAAGAGTGACGATCACGGGGACTATCCTTTCTCCTGATGGTTATTCTTAGTACATGGAAATGTAACTTATATTTTTCATGTGCATTGTTATTTTTGTACCTTATTTAGTTTACTACTAACATAGTTTAAGTTACTTTACTAACCCATATGTATGTACAAGTTATACGAAATAAACAATTATTATTATCATGGGGTATCCTTAGAATATTCTAATCTGGTTGGGCTGAATAAATATATAATAGGAAATGATAAGTCTACATAAATATATTTTAATACTAGCTTGCTAGGCAGACGTTTTTCTGCCCTTTTCGACGACCCTTTGTCATGTCCTATTAAAAATACTTGAATTCGCAAAACAAAATTGCAGGCCACTCATGAGCAAAAAAACTGTCCTGTCTCTCAAGTTGGCCAAACTGTACACGGTGTGCAAATTTGATTAAAATTGGTTAAGTAGTTTAGGAGTTCATCGCGGTCAAACAACGTGACACGTAATTTATATATATTAAGATAAAAACATAAATAAATAAGAGCTCAATCAGATGGAAGCCCTAGGCAGGGGAGAACAAATGATGATAAAAACCACGAAGTCCTGGTCGTCTCAGATGACCCGAGAGGCTGACTGGGATTAGCCCACTCGCAGAGACGACTACAGAAATAAAATCAGTCGACAGACCATTCCACATGTCGGTCACCTCGTGTGTCATTTCCGGATATTTTGTTTGCATATCTGTTTCGACTTTCACGAGGTTCTCGTCATACGGTATAATAATGTCGACCAAAAATATCCTTGATTATGCCCGGTCCATCAGCACAATATCAGGTTTATTTGCAAGAACACTCCTGTTTGATATGATGGCCCCGTCCCAGTAGAGCCTGGAGGGATCATTTAAGTGCACGGCTTCCGGAAAATACTCGTAATAAGGCAGTTTCTTATGCACGAAACCGTATTTCAGAGCGAGCAAGTATAGAATTCTGGCTACTAGAATTTTCCACTCCGAAATTAGATATTTGAAAACGGGTAAAAACATCGAAAGAAATTCACATGTAAGCAAATTGGCCGTAGAACTAGGACAAGGTAACCTCCTCAGATTAAACGGACCTTTACCTTTTAAATCCAAATTAACAGGGGAAAGTCGAAAACGTCTCATATTGGACGGTAAACATGAAATAGTGAAAATGATAATTAGAGTAGTTCATCGATATTTCGGTCAGCTAATCAATAAATGGTGATGAACGAATTGAAGTAGATTATTTCGGACCCATGAGTGTATCCGCGGGAAGGTGACTTGAAAAGCACTATAGTTAGTGTCATGCATTACATAACAATCGGCTATGTAATATGATTAAAATGTTAAGAATTTAATTATTTGAATAATTTAAAGATATGTGCTTTGATAAGTAATAACTGATAGGATATATCGGTAATCAGTTTGATAGGGACAGTTGAATGCTGTGTATATATTAGACAAGAATAGTGATAAATAATAGAGAGGGAAGGCAAGAGCCTCCTATATAATCTTGAGAGTCGTGTATAAATGAATTTGTCAATTCACACGAGTGTCTATCATTGTTGAAAATAGTTTTAAAAACATAAAGTGATATCTGTTGTCATGAAAATTTTGAAAATGCATGAAATAAATGTTTTAGAAAGGTTTCGTAAGATAGTAAGTAAGAAATACGTAAAAAGTATTTAATTTTATTGATAGAACAACTAAATAATAATAGAAAATAAAGTTATACACGTGGTAGAGCCATGCTGCAGCTATATTAGTAGTATAATTGTAGCACGAATGGGTCGGCTCGACCGGGGAAGGACTACGCTCTCACAGAAAACCAGCGTGAAATAGTAGCTTAATACTGCTGTGTTTCGTATGGTGAGTGTAGAGAACCGGATACCCTTTTTACTGGAAACGAGACATTCCATCTTAGTCCTCACGGGTGACAACGCGTCTGCATTTTGATTTGTAATCGAGGATAGATGTACATGTCTATGGGCCGCAGCAACCACTTACCATCAGGCGGACTGTGTGCTTGTTTGTCACCCTATCCTATAAAATAAAAAAATAAAAAATATTTTATTTGTGAATAAATATTTTATTCGTGAATTAAAGTGTTGTATTGTTTAAGACCTGTGAAGTTGGCAATAAAGATTGTATTAATAAAGTTTTTATTCGATACTTAAGATCTATGACTCCAAGAAATTGCTTGTAAAATTGTAATATTTTCTTTAATATTTAATTAATTCTTTTTGTAATATTAATAATTTAATTACGTATTTTTGTAATACGTCTTCATTGTGCTTTATGTGAAATATAATTGTTTTATGATATTGTTATGGGCAACATAAAACGACCGCTCTGCTCACTCGCCGTCTCAAAAATCTACCACCTCCGCTGATCCTCAATGGCCAGAAGATCGCGTACGAGAAGGCCGTGACCTACTTTGGGTGCCGGATTGACAGGACGCTGCGCATGACCGTGCACGTCGACTTCGTCATCCGCAGAGCCAGAAGTGCGCGGGCGACGCTCTTGCCAGTCCTGGCATCCAAGCTGCCAATCAAGACTAAGCTGAAAATGTACAAGATGTATATTCGACCTATAATCACCTATACTGCTACGGCGTGGTACGCGCTTCTGAGCGATCCTCTGAGGCGGCGACTGCAGGCCCAGCAGAACCTGACATTAATAACGATCGTCGGAGCAGGTCGCTACGTCCGGAATGACGCCATAGCGGCCGATCTGAAAGTCGAGACCATCCGAGACTTCGTGGCCTGGCTGGCGCGCGGTATGTTCAACTGCGCCGACAATGGGCCACACGAACACCTCAACGGCTTCGCACCGTTGCACACACGGCCCCCGGACGGGCGACCTTATCCAAGAGAACTCCTCTCTATATAGTTAGAGAGTTGAGTAAAACCCATAATGCCGTAAACAGGCCAACACCGATTTTACAAAAAGACAATCTCTCTTTTTTTTGGGATTAAGCGACTATTGCCAAACCAATTTTTCTGACGCTACGAGGACCTAAAGACCCCGTCAATGTCAAATTTGAGGCCCCTAGATCTGGCACATAGTCGTAGGCCATGACGAAAATCTCGGATAATGGCCAAACACCGACTCTCACGTTTGACAACTTCCCTTTACAACCAGTTAACCAACCTCGGTCAAACCTATTTTTTTAACTACATTAAGGAATAAAGAATCTGACAATGCCAAATTAATGGCTCCCAGGACTGGCTCATAGCCGTGGGCCATGAGGTAAATCCGGGCAATGGGGGCCCCCAGGCCCGAGACCTGCAAGGCATAAAAATCCTATGCAGACGACACCACTGACAACCGCCGGTACGACATACTCCGCCGATCATCGAGTCCGTATAGAACAGAACCTTAGGCACCTTAATGCGCTCGTGCTTACTTCCCCTCCCCCTAACTCTTTAGTTACGAAAGGGCAGGCAGTGTCCCAAGTGTTTTAGCCATGCGCCTTCTCCCACCTATTATCCCTCGCGTCCCACGTCATACCGCCTGACTCGTTTGGTAAGTTCAGATAGGGCTGTAGTACATTACTCACACAGCGCTACTAGTGTAAACAAACAATACCATGTCGGGCAGGGGGGAGCCCCCCCTCTACGAGTACGTAAACCACCGAATCGCAAAAGAGTACTGGAACGGCCACTCCTCGTTAGGGACCTGTCGAACCCGGAGCGATCAAGAATTGCCACATCATTCTCACAGATAGCGGGCTATGAAAACGGCGAGAAGTTATACCCCACCGGAGACCAAGGCCTCCCTCCATGAAAAAAAAAGCACGTCGACCCTCACGATTCATCAGCATCCGCATCATCATCATCGTCTTCATCATTGGAAGATGAGGAGACCCAGCTGGTGAATAATTCTCCTCCAAAGTCGTCATCTCTACCGCAGCCACGCCCCTCCATCTCACCGGACCGATGTAGCCATGAAACTCGGCCCATTTCGAGCAAGGAGGTGAAGTGTCACACAACTGAGGGTCCACCTACGCGACCCTAGCTGCATCCGCCGGCCGATCATCGTCAGTGCAGAATACTAACCCGTCCGAGCTACTGCTACTAGGACTACGGTCAACGGCCCTCTACGAGCTACGTACACATGGCAGCAGCACCACCAGTGCTATGACCCAAGACGGCGGAAGAGTCCGAACAACCATTTAAAGAGATGGCAAAATATCCACCCATTGTCGCAGAATACCTCCCAGGCATTTCGAGGAGCTTAATAGAAAATTATTCCACCCTCCTAATGCCCATCCGTTCGGGAAAGGTGTTGGATTCACACCGCAGAGTCCCAATGAGTTCCGAACCATCCAGAGATACATGGTCGAGCTCTCAAAGGAACTACCAACATTGCCGTGGTACTGTTATACCCCGGAGGAGGAGAAACCCACTAATGTGGGCATCCGGGTACTGCCAGTGGGCACTGACACAAAACCAATAGAGGAGGCTATCACTCTGCCGGGGCTACTCTTGGAGGACCCGAAGAGGATTCTCCAGAGTCGCCCATGAGCAGTAACCATCAAAGAACGGGTGGGCCACAGTCAGAAGAAAGGGTAGGTAGTCAGCCCCACCTCACCCGAAATACCAATGGAAACGGTGGAACTCACTGAACTAAGGGCAACCACCGGGGTGACTCTCCAGCCCTCCGCTAACGATGCAACGGAGCACCAGCCTTCCAAAAAGAGGAGGTGGAGGAACAGGAAGAAGAAGTCGCAGCCTCCTCCTCCGGCTGTAACCTCTTACTCTACACCATCAGTACCGATAGCATCACAGACGCAGGTTAATAGAAGAGAGTTACCAAAGAACAACGTGGGTAGAGCGCCAGCAAGGGCTCTATCAGAAAATAGAGCCCGCTCTACCCAGAGAAAAGAACAACAAGTCATTAACGTCCCGAGACCAGTGCTTTCATATCCATATAGATCACTATTAGGTACTAGCAGGCGGCTCACTGGAAATAGGAACGAGCTGCCGCGAGAGATACGCGTGCAGCTGAAACATAAAAGAGCACTGAGGAAGCTCTGGGCGCGCACTCGCTGCCCCAGAATTAAAGCTAAGTTAAATCAATTAACGGACGCACTGTCGGTTGAAATCCAAGAGGAAGGCGCCGGGGCACGACGGGATTACCAACGCTGTACTCCGACGACTGCCCAACACAGTATTTGTAGAGATTGGTCGACTCTACAATGGCATATTGCGGACATCCCACTTCCCGGATGACTGGAAGAAAGGCAAAGTGATTGTCTTGCCGAAACCCGAGAATGACAGGCTTAGAACTGCCAATCACACGCCGATTATGCTGCTACCGCACATAGCTAAACTGCTTGAAAGATTGCTGCTAAGACGCCTCCACCCGTGCATCGATCTTTGGGCGGAGCAGCACGGATTCAAGAGGAACCATTCAACATCAACACAGCTGACCAGAGTGCTACACCTGCTTGCGGTCGAGCACAACCACGGCCACACATCGTTGGACGTCTTTCTCGACATAGAGAAAGCGTTCGACAGGGTGTGGCAATCGGGATTACTCTACAAGTTAGAAGATTAGACCAGTATCCCTCCTGCTATGTTGCGGCTAGTGGCGTCATTCCTCGCAGACAGAAGGTTCTCCGTCTGTGTAGAAGATGCCGAATCTGTAATAAGACCAATAGGAGCCGGCGTGCCACAGGGCAGCTGTCTGTCTTCAGTCCTCTACCCGGCTTACACCAACGACATCCCTACACAGGCAGGACACCTGCGCGAATGGGAGGACGACGTGGAACTGGCGCTATTTGCGGACGATAGCGCCTACTTTACCTCGTCCAGAAGAGCCCACATCGCCACTGCCAGGATGCAACGTCTGCTGAACCTGTTGACACCATGACTGGATGAGTGGAGGATAGCCGTCAACATTGGTAAGACGACCGCTCTGATCACTCGCCGCTTCAGAAGATTTCCACCACTACTTACACTCAGAGGCCAGGAGATCACGTACGAGAAGGCCGTGACATACCTTGGGTGCCGGATCGACAAGAACCTGCGCATGACCACGCACGTCAACTTCGTCATCCGCAAAGCCAGATGTTCGCGGGCGATGCTCCGTCTAGCCCTGGCATCCAAGCTGCCGAACAAAATGAAGACCACTATTTATAAAACATACATCAGACCATTGTTAACTTATACTGCTTTAGCCTGTACGCGCTCTTAAGCGATCGACAGATGACTGCAGGCCTAGCAGAATTTGTCACTACGGACCATTGTCGGTGCGAGTCGCTACGTCTGAAACGACGTTATAGCGGCCAACCTGAAGATTAAAAGCCTCCAAGAATTTGTGACCCGGCTTGTGCGCGGCATGTTTGACCGTGCTGACAACGGGCCACTCCAACACCTCAATGACTTTGCGCCGCTACATACCCTATCCAAGAGAACTCCTCACTACATAGATTAGTGAGTCGAGTAAAATCAACAATGCCACAGAAAGGCCAACTCTGACAAACAGTAGATAACCTCTTTTTTATTATAATTTAACCAACTGCGACAAATTTACCCGATTGTGGCAAATAGTAGCTAACAACCTAACATCGCCTTACAGCAAAGGCGCCCAAGACCAGCCCATTGTAGTGGACCGTGAAGAATGCCCGGGTAAAGGGGTATACCCCGAGGCCAGAAATCTGCGGGTTCTGCAATTCGTTCGGCATCAGCTACAGTTGCAAGTTATTATTCCAGAAAGAAACAGAAAAGATAAATTGAAAGTTATAAAAGTAGTGAAAGTTTCAATATCACATTTCTAAGGGGAATTTAAGAACAATTAATTTTTTACTGAAGAATTCTTCAGTGTTCACCCTGATAGTAGGGAAGTAAGAGAAAATACAGTTCAATAGAACCCAACGTGGTGTGGTATAGGATAGGAGGTCAATAATTGGTTGATCACTGATGCGAGGCGTGAGATGAAGAACTTGACCACCCTTTCAATTAGGTACTTACTTATGAAAATATATACAACTTCCAAGGTAAAATTCACTCTTATATCCTGCTACACAACAATTTACCACTGTAATTTAGAATTCTATGAGCTAAATCAGAACTCCCACCATAAAAAGATTTTTTATGGCTGCAATCAATTAGACAGGGATGCAGTCCTATTTAAGAGTGTGGCTCGATTTACCGTTTAGCAGCGTTGTATTAAAAACTGAAATTTATATCAATGGAACTTGGAGTTATTTTTGTACGGAACAAATTTTCTAGTGCACTATTGTCTTTTATTTATAATATCTTTGGTTTTGAAATGCTACCGTCTTATTACCAGATAGCTCTCGCACTTTTTGCTTATTTTCACATTAGCCATATAGCCATGGCAATTCTGGGGAAAAATCTGGTAACACTGGAAAATACTCCTCCCTGAGGAAAGTAGAGATGTGCCAACTCGGATTGAACTCGACTCGAGTTAACTCGAGTTGAAATTCACGTAACTCGAACGGTTCTCGAGTTACGCTACTCGACTTGGCAGGACGAAACTGAGCCAATTTGTTACAATTTTTTATATATTTCATCTTACGTCCAACTCCATGTTGTGCACAGAATAATACGATGCTGTCGCATGTCTTGGGAAAATAATTAATACCAAACTTTGCAGGTAGGTAGGAGTGAAATAAAAAACGTATTTATAGTACTATATTTATTTTTGGTGTACGACTTAGATATAGTAAGTACCACTATATTTTATAACAAAACAAATTATATAGACAATCTTCACAAAATAATTACTAACTCTATGACGTAAGTAAATACGTTATTAATAAATTAATAAATTATTTTCACCTCTATCGGGGAAGGACCACGCTCTCACAGAAAACCGGCGTAAAATAGCAGCTTAACGCTACTATGTTTCGTATGGTGAGTGTAGAGAACTGGATACCCTTTTTACTTGAAACGAGGCATTCCATCTTAGTCCTCACGGGTGACAACGCATCCGCATTTTGATTTGTAATCAACATTGAGTTACAATACCTATAGAGTCACAATCTCTAACTGACAATACTCAAAAAAATGTCCGAGCGCCGTTCCATATACCTATATATTTTGATATTATATAGTTCAAAATGACATTTGCTCGAATTTAGACGTTAACCTGCTTGTATAATGTTCAAAGTCGCTCGTATGCAATGTCATCATCATTCACTCAAGGGCTTGCGTACGAGCAGGGAACAAGGCATCAGTGGAGACGCTATTTATACTAATATTATTAGGAGTTTATAATAATTGTGAAATATGAGTTTGTGAGTTTATATGTACCTAGGAGAACTAAACAACTGATTTCAAAAATTATTACACCAATTTCTTTTTAATTTACTTACGCATTTTAAGAATACAAAATCGAAAGTTATAATAAAATATTACATTGTAAGCATTAAAAAGGAATAAGTTCTTACATGTAAAATGGGTTTTGCATTTTTGTTAAGCCTACTGAAACCTTTCGTTGTTGTATAAATGTCTGAAGCAGGAAAGTGATTAGAGCATACAACCGACCCTTTATATGGCTTGTAGTTTAATTCATTTCGGGCTTTTGCTATAATAACTGTCCATTCAGAGCATCTTATGGGGTTTCGAGGAAAACTAAAAACAAAAAAAAAACATATTGTAATTATACTTTAAAATAATAAAACTCTTTCGACCTACATTTTGTACGGAAAACTAAAAAATAAAACATTTAACAACATTGTAATATTAGTACATTAAGTTTAAAATCTGTAAAAATATTTATTGTATCAATCCACTCCATAGAACCGTTAGAACATAATTTGCGAGTCACTCTCGTACGCGTGACTATTTGTTTCTCTTTTACTCTTGCATATTTGTCTAACGTGTGAAAGAGAAACGTTATCGCGGCGCCGCGCGGTCGGCGGTGAGTGTTTTAGTTTGCTAATAAAATGAAAATTATTGAAATTTAGATGAAAACATGCACTGTGGATACATAAATACGTAAATTTGGTATGATACTTACCTAAAATATGAAACACCATCCTTTTTTCGCACGTGTCTGCTGTTATTTGGGCAGGAAATCACCGAACACTTTGGCATCGCGGACGTTGTACGAGGATTGTGGTCGCCTTACAACTAAACAAAAACTCTGCGCACTTCGCAGCGTGCGCCGAGTTTTGGCGCGGACATTTTATTTGTCTGTTTGTGACTCTATAGGTATTGTAACTCAATGGTAATCAAGGATAGATGTAGATGTGTATAGGCCGCGGTTACCACTTACTACCAGGTGGATTGCGTGCTCGTTTCATCCTTATCCTTTAAAAAAATACAACAAATTATTATTATTGCACAATTTATTGGCATTAAGTAATTTATTGGTATTGGTATATGCACGATAAACGAATTGTGCTCCCACTTTCTCGCATATTTCGTTCAATTACCGCCAACCCTAACTCGAGTTCCGAGTTGAGTTCGGAGGGATTATCCGACACTCGAATTAGTTCGAATTGAACGCAACTTGATGTAACTAGAACTAGTAAATCGAGTTAACCATCACTAGTGAGAAGTACTGTGTTTTTGTATGTATATCTGTGTATCACTGTGTGACTGTGTACCTGCGGTTTCGTACAACGCACGCGCTTGGTTCACGTCCTTCAAATAAATCCAGTGATTGTGAAATAAAGTTTTTAAAACTTTCAAAGTTTGTAATTTGTATAAAAATAATAAAATAAGTTAAATCCTGCTTTAAATTATTGGTCATGTGTTTTGTTGTGAGCGAATGAACATAAAATTGAAAACATGTACTCTTTAAGACTTTAAAAGGGCCCTTAAAGTTGAGTGAACTTTTATTCATTCCGTTGGAATCATGCAAATCCCACAGGTGTTATATATTATGTTGTGAGAATTAGAATCCCAGCAACCAATTCAAAAATGAAGTTTTCTTCAAGCTCTTTTCTGTGCGATATTTATTTTTGTCATGAAACAAGCTTAGAAACAATAGGTACTATTCTGTAAGTGGTGTACTGTTTACGGGTAATGGAAGAATTGGAACGGTTATCCAAGATGTATTCAAGGAGAATTCTTGGGGTTTTCTATATATCATATTGTATTCTTCAGTTAACAACTGCAGCTGAGACTTCAGGTGAGTTTTTTTTTTGGGTTTATACTTTACATTCTTAGTTTTTAAATTTAATTAAATTATTGAATGTTTAAAGGCAAAAAAAAAAATAATTCTTTTATTTTATAAATTAATATTTATGGTATGTTGATATTGTTACTTATCATTACACATTTTATTAGCTTTTCTTAAACAAGTTAAGAGTAAAAAAGGAGCAGATATTTATCCATTCAAAATTGGAGGCTGTAATCCATATTATACCTACATTTATTCTCTTCAAATTTATTATACACTTAAACTAAATATAAAAATATATAGTAAATAATATTTTATCTGCAAAGAAAATCAAGTTACAAAAGTTATTCTTCAAAGAAGAATATTTATATTCTAGAAAATGCTGAGTTCGCTCCATTAAGTAATGTGATGAGGTTCACTATGAATTCACTCTGGACTTTTTACATTATATATACTGGTGGTAAAAAATCCCAAGACCTGAAGTCTTGGGATTATTTTAACACTAAACCAACATATTGAGAATATGAGTCATTTTTGTCCACAAATATAGAATTTGTTAGTAAATTTTGTTAGTAAATCTATCATCTTGACAAAACTAATAATTTTTACTTTTTAGATGCCATTAGTATTTTGTACATTTTGCTTATTATGTGGACTATTTTCTGCAACTCTATGTTAAAAAAAGTTGCTGGCGTTGCTGCTGGGCACAGGTCTCATTTTTGATAGGGTTTTAGAGCAAGAAAATGCTTGCCGCACTGCCCCAATGTGTTTAGCGGACTTCACATGTCTCTGAAATATTTTATTATTCATATTTCTCAGACATGCAGGTTTCCTCACAATGTTTTTCTTCAACGCTAAATTAATGGTAAACCAGCATTTAAAATTGCAATTAACAATTTCATTAATGCCGGCGGATATTGAACCTGGGTTGCTCACATACTGTGAAATTTACAGTGAGCATATAACCCCTGAGCCCCCACAATTCTACATCTAAGCATGTATTTTGTGTGTGCTTATTATGTTACAATTTATTATGATAAAACATTTAATGGTGGGAGTTATAATGAGAAATAGGAGTGGGTGATATTTCAACCTGTTCTTTGATCTTTGTGATTGATACTTGTTCATCTTTTCTGTCCAATTGATACTACTAGTAGATGGACTAGAGGCACTGGAGAATGACTGATGGCTTATTAATCCATCGAAATCGCTTAACCTGAATTTCACTGACTAGTGTTGGGCAGAGCAAACAATCTGCTTAGTATGTCATGAACTGTTTTCTGCAACTACACTCCACTAGAAACTTCCCAATATTCCTAAAGGTTGTATCGATGCCACTCCAACATTCTTAGAGCCAAGAGTCCCTAATCCTTCTGCCTAGAGTTTCAAGTAATGATTGCCAGCTGGAACCTTTTTCGATAAGCATTAAGTCCTGGACTGAAGTACTGGACTTAAAAAAAGGCTAATAATCACATTAATGTTAAAATTAATTTATATTAATTAACTATAATAATTAAAAGTAACAATGGATATCAAATTCTTTATTTCGTAAACCTAGTTTTTTACTTCTTGAATAAATTTATCAATTGATAATTTTATTATATTTGAGAATAGCAATCCTCCTCGGTTTCATACAAGTAATTTCTGGATTTCAGCAACAGCCCACCTAACGGGTTCAAATATGAATCTAAACTATCTGGTTGAGTCAGTTTTGAGTCTTAGCAGGACTCTGTTACTATTGCTACCTGTGTGAAATAATTACCTATAATCATGCTCGTCTAAGCCGTCACCTAAGATCGTCTGAGCAGAATACTTAGTCAGGGCTAGCACGTTGTAGGCGATTGAATGTTAAAGCTTTTTAATATGTTAATAGCTTTTTGTAAATGCTTGTTGAAATAGTTTTTTTTTAGTGTTTAGTATAATTGATTGCCATGGTGTGGTGATGGTCGTGTAGTGACAGTTTGGTATATCCACTACCCCATATTTACCCGTGGGTGTCGTAAAAGGCGACAGAGGGAAACAGGCAGGAGATGGGCAGCAGCATCTTTCTGATAGCAGCAACTGTAAAACAAAAAAACTGCGGTTGCCAACCCGCTCGCCAAGCGCAACCCATGACCCCCATGAGCAACGACGCAAATAGACGGCCCGCAGTCCCCGGCGGCCCCGCTATTCCTGGCTACGGTGGCGATCATGGCAACGACGGGGCAGGGGCTGCTAACAATCTCCGATGGAGGTTTGGTTGCCACCAACGTCGACTCGACCTGGCAACATATAACGCACGCACCCTGAGGTCTATCGAGAAGATCCTGGAGCTGGAAGAAGAGATAGACAAGTTGCTCTGGAGTATTGTAGGATTATCCGAGGTCCGAAGACAGGAGGAGGACACGGTGATTCTCGAATCCGGCAACTTGTTCTATCCCTGGGAGGGCGACCATTTGTCCCAAGGAGGTGTTGGGTTTATCGCCCACAAGTCTCTCGTTAACAATGTTGTAAGTATTGAGAGTATATCGACAAGGGTTGCGTACCTTATACTCAGAATCACCAAACGGTAATCGCTGAAGGTCATAACGGTTTACGCACCAACGTCGGCACATCCCAATGAGGAGGTAGAGGAAATGTATGAGGATATTTCTAGAGCCATGCATTCCTCCAAAACACATTGACGGTGTTAATGGGAGACTTCAACGCAAAACTAATTCACAAGAAAGAATGGTGAGCTGAAAGTAGGGAAATTTGGTATAGGGCAACGGAACCCAAGGGTCCAGCAGCTGGCCGACTTCATTGAGAAAGAGGGACTCTTTATGATGATCTCTTTCTTCCAGAAGCGGCCCCACAGAAAATGGTCCTGGTCGAGCCCCGACGGTTAGACAAAAAATGAGATTGATTTCATTATGACGACTAAACGGCAACTGTTCGGTGATGTCTCAGTGATTGCAAGAGTGAAAACTGGCAGCGATCAGAATGGGAGGCACACTGAACCTAAACGTTAAGTTGGAGAGGTCTCGTCTAATGAAGTCAACGCTCTTGCAAGAATTTCAGCATCGAGTACGGAACCCAGGGCCTTCCAGAAGTCTTTGCCATCAGATTCTGTCTGCCAGAAAGAGCTAACTGTCAAAGCAGAAGACTGAGTGTGGCAGCATAGTTTCCGGGACACCTGATATTTTGAGTTAGATTGAGAGGTTCTATGTGCAGCTGTACACATCATCGTTGGAGCCACACGCGAGTGTAAGTAACGATCCAAGAGCAAGTCGTATCCGACACTATTCCGATGATACCTCGGACGCCAGTCTGAGCGAGATTAGAATGGCTCTCCAGCACCTTAAAAACGGCAAGGCCCCGGGTGAGGATGGAATTACAGCGGAGGTTCTGAAATTGGGTGGAACACCGGTACTTAAAGGCTTTCAGAAGCTCTTCAATTCCGTCCTCCATGGTAGCACTACTTCGGAGGCGGGGAGCAGAAGTGCGATGGTCGTGTTCTTTAAGAAAGACGACAACGCTCTCTTGAAGAACTACAGACCAATTTCCCTCCTGAACTGTGCTGTTTTCGAAAGTCATTACGAATCGTCTCACACGCAGACTCGACTTCCAGCAAGCCGGTTTCCGAAAAGGCTTCAGTACCATATACTACGTACGTACTCTGCGGCAGATTGTGCAGAAGACCGAAGAGTACAATCTGCTACTTTGCCTGGCGTAATGTGGATTATGAGAAAGCATTTGATTCCGTCGAAATTTGGGCGGTGCTACAGTCCCTTCAGCGGTGCCAAGTTGACTGTCGGTATATCAAAGTGCTGAAGTGTTTTTACAGTAGGGCTACGATGGCTATCCGAGTACAGAACCAGAGTTTGAAAGCTATCCAACTGCAGAGAGGTGTAAGACAGGGTGACGTTATATCCCCGAAACTCTTCACAGCTGCATTGGAAGACGTTTTCAAGCTACTGAACTGGAAAGGATATGATATTAACATCAATGGCGAGTACATCACTCACCGTCAATTTGCTGACTGTGCCTCATGACCTCAATAGTGTCTCCCAACGGATAGGTCTTAAGATGAACATGGAAAAAACAAAGATCATGTTTAATGTCCATGTCACACCTATGCCGGTAGTTGTTGGGAGCACAAAGCTCGAAGTTGTTGACGAGTACGTTTATCTGGGACAAATAGTCCGACTAGGTAAGTTCAACTTCGACCAAGAGGTGAATTGACGGATTCAATTCGGCTGGGCAGCGTTTGGAAATTACAACACATCTTCTCGCCAGGTATACCTCAAAACTAGATTGTACAAACAGTGCGTGTTGCCAGTGATAACTTATGGATCTGGGACGTAGTCCTTTACGATATGATGATATCTGCAGTCTGCAGTTTGTGATCATATCCTAGACGGCCCCAAGCATTACATCAGATTTGATAGACCACAAATCCTCGCGAAAGAACACCAATTCCTACCAAGAATAATACGTGAGGCTATTGAAATTAAAAAAGTATCCTAATTTCAATAGAGAAGGAGGCTGGGTCAATCAGAGGTGGGTGAATCAATAAAATTAAAACTAAACCCAAGCATACCACTGCAAGACCTCAAGACATAGTTCATTTTGCATAGATCGGACCATAAACAATAATTAAAAAAAAGCTGAAGGTACTCCGGGTTTAACAATGACATCGGTACGTCAGTCACCTCATTCCCCCGTGACCATGGGTGCTGGAAAGCACCCGAAACGTCGGGAATTAAAAATAAAAATAATTAAAATTAAACTCTATAAAATCCGTAAAAGTAGTTTTAATCAAAGTGAGACTTCTTACTATGTAGCCTTAATCCTTTACACCTTTTCTATATTGTATCAAAAGGTTTTGCGTAATATTTAAGTCGATATTCGCCTGCACAAACACAGCTCAATCAAGCAACCTAATGAACTTAGCAAACTTAGAGTGGAACTTAAATATTCAATTACTAATTAACGTCTAAATTTGCTTATGAATACAGACGTGTCCTATATGTACGTAACATGCCAAA